AGGGGTTTAGGGGTTTAGGGTCCAAGCCCAGAAACCTTGCACTTTCTCACCTTGTTGCTTGCCTCGTCTTGCTCAAAAGAAAGCTTGCCAGAGACTCCAATATCCCTTAATTAAGGCACATACCTTAAATTATAGTAGGATCCCTATTATGATTTAAGGTATAGTCTGAACCCTAAACCCTAAACCCTAAACCCAGAATTAAGGGGTATTGGAGTCTCTTGGTTTTCATTTTCAAGCTCGCGATCTCCCTCTGCCTCAAGGGAACGAGAAGAACGATGCCTCAACACCTAAGACCCCCTAAACTTAGGGTTTAAGGTTTAGGGTTTAGGGTTTAGGGTTTAGACCCAAAAGGCACCCCGAAACCCAAAAGGCACCCCCAACTCCAAGCCCTGGACCCTGACCACGAAAACCAAACCAACCCCTTGCCTTAATCCGAACCTGTCGCCTCGTGCTTAATATCGGAAAAACGCATTCCCCTGATGTAGGAACCTGGTTAAGGAACCCTGGCAATAGAACCCCAAAATATTAGAGGTCATATTGAGAACTCTAACAAAGGCCCAGGGTTTCTTAATCAGGTTCCTACATTACTTGTCCAGTATCCTGGGGAAATAAAGGTTAACCTTTGGGAGTATATTGGGAGTATACAGGGGTTATAGTACCCCAAACCGGTTACAGGTCACCTACTCGACTACTAGGTCCCTATAAAGCATAGAAAACCCTACACCCTAAGCCCCAAAAACCATAGAACCGAAACCCTAAACCCTAAACTCTAAACACCTAAAACCCTAAAACCCTAAACCCTAAATCGTAAACCTAAACCCTAAACCCTGAACCCTGAAACCCTAAACCCCAAAAACCATAGCACCCAACCCATCGTGTCGCTCCCCGCTGTCGGTGCCAGGGTTGTGCTGTTGCAGCGGATAGCCATCGCACATCAGCATCCTTAGAGCAGTTTAGGGCTAAGGGCTTAGGGTTTAGGGTTTCGGGTTTAGGGCTAAGGGGTTTGGGTTTAGGGTTTTGTATGGTTTCTAGGCTTAGGGGTTTATAGGGTTAGGGCTGAGGGCTTTGGGTTTGGGGTTTTGTATGGTTTCTAGGCTTAGGGCTTTTTATGGTTTATGGGGTTTATGGCTAAGGGCTGAGGGTTTAGGGTTTCTTATGGTTTATGGGGTTTGGGGTTTAGGGCTTTCTATGGTTTATCGGGTTTAGGGCTTCGGGCTCAGGGTTTAGGCTTTCCTATGGTTTATGGGGCTTAGGGCTTTGGGCTTAGGGTTTCGGCTTTCCTATGGTTTATGGGGTTTAGGGTTTAGGGCTTTCTATGGTTTAGAGGGCTTAGGCTTAGGTTTTCCTATGGTTTACAGGGGTTAGGGTTTAGGGCTTTCTATGGTTTATGGGGTTTAGGGTTTAGGGCTTTCTATGGTTTATAGGGCCTTATAGGGCTTGGGGCTTAGGGTTTAGGGCAGTCACCATACAGACAACAGTACATCACAAACATGGGGGCCATGATAATTGTCAATAGGGCTTTCTGGGGTTTATTACATTATGCCACAGTTATGTAGAGACAGCGCAATTTACGATGCTAGGTGTCCCGTAAACTAGGAATTGGAATAGGTCTTTTTTTGGTAAGTCAACACTAAATCTGAAACCCTGAACCCTAAACCCCTCAGCCCTAAACCCTAAACCCTAAACCCTAAACCCTAAACCCTAAACCCTACACCAACCGAACCTGAGGCAACAAAGCGGGAAAAGGGACGACTGGAAAACCTCTCTTCGGTTCCTGAGACGGTTCCTTTAATGGGTGTGAGGGTCCCAATTAAGACAGGAGCATAAACCTTAGGGTTTAGGGTTTAGGGGTTTACTCTAAGGTTTAGGCTTTAGGGTATCATAAACCCTGAACCCTACATCCTGATGCTTTTCGGGGCCAACACCCTAAACCCTAAACCCTAAACCCCTCTAAAAACCCTATATAACCCCTATAAACCCTAAGCTTGCCCTGAACCCTAAACCCCCCCAAAAGCCCCAAACGCCCCTAAGCCCTGAACCCTAACCTGAAAATCCTATGAGTCCTAAAATTTTTAGAAGGCAGCTTTCTGGTTGAAAGCCTTTGGGGCCACGACCATTGGCCATCCTCGCGTTGCGTCAGCTCTAGCAAGCACCTGCGCGTTCATCGGCTTCGGGTCTAGGGTTTTAGGGTTTTGGGTTTATAGGGCTTAGGGTTTAGGGCTTAGGGTTTAGGGTTTAGGGCTTAGGGTTTAGGGTTCAGGGTGTTAGGGTTTTAGGGTTCAGGGCTTTAGGGTTTAGGGTTTAGGGCTTAGGGTTTGGGGTTTAGGGCTTAGGGTTTAGGGCTTAGGGCTTAGGGTTCAGAGTGTTAGGGTTTTAGGGTTCAGGGTTTTAGGGTTTTGGGTTTAGGGCTCAGGGTTTAAGGTTGAGGGTTTCGGGATCAGGGTTTTTAGGGGTTTAGGGTTTAAGGCAAAGGGTAATGGGGTTGCCAGGCGTTTGGGGCGTGGGGCATCAGGGTTCTGCGGAGTTGCTTTTAGGGCTATTTGCCGCACATATAGGTTAAAGGAAACTACAGGTGGGGAGTTAGGGTAGGGCTTCTATGAGGTACTGTTTGACCTTCTATATTTTTCCTATAACGATAACAACCCACCTGAAAATGTCCGAGATTAGGACTATTCCTGAACCCTCAACCCTGACCGAGGTTCGGCAGAATGCCATGGACAAGCACATCTTGGGTCCTCAAGAAGTCACGGTCGAAGCCGTTGTTGAGGGATGCAACGGTGTACTCGGCATCGGTCTCGAAACGTTCGACGATGGTCGAGCACCCCTGCTTGTTGGCCAATTTCAGCATCTGCTTCGCCTTCTCAATGGCAACAGAGTCCAAGCTTTGCGCGCCACGCCCTCCCACTTCCCTACGGATGTTGGCGAGGACTTCCTCAACGGTAAGGCGCGACTTTGACTTGCCAGTTGCAAGGGCAGCAGCTTGCTCCTGAAACCACCGGTCTGTTTTGAGGCGTTTGCGCTGGCTCTGGGCCGCAAACCCTAAACCCTAAACCATAAAACCCTAAACCCTAAACCCTAAACCCTTTGCCGCACCCATATAGGACAGGAAACCTCGGTCGCTCCTCCGTGTAGCCCTGACATACGTCCTAAACCCAGAGCCCTAAGCCCTGAACCCTAAGCCCCAAACCCTAGAACCCTAAAGCCCCAAACCCTGAAACCCTAAAGCCCTAAGCCTTAAACCCTAAACAGTAAAGCCCTAAACCCAAAGCCCTATAAACCCTTAGCCCAAGGGGCTGCGAGGTTTAGGGTCAACCACATGGCCCGAAAATTTCTGAAACCCAAAAGGCCTCAAGCCTCGCCGAGACCTTCTTACGCAACTCGAGCAGATGCCACTGTGTTCCCGAAGGCTCATTTAGAGTTTTGCGGTGGGTTTTCAGGTTTTTAGAGTTTCAGGTCTGGGGTTTACAATATGTATCCGAAGGCTCTAAGGACTCATGCTTTAAGGTTTATAGGGGTTTAGGGTTTAGGGTTTAGGGCTTAGAGCCTTTTGGCGATGTTGAGTCTTAGGGTCCCAGCCAGAAAAGAACTAACTGATGGTTGCACGAAGGCCAGACTTCCGAGAGTCCGTGTTGGACCTAGGGGCAGGCAATTGCTTTTGGTGGGTTTGCAATCTTTTTGATAGTACCCTACCTTAAGAACCCAAAACCTACTTTTTGTAGGGTCCCTATAAATCCCATATTAGGGTTTATAATAAGAACCTACAATAATGTGGGTTTTGGGTTCTTAAGGTAGGCCCTAAACCCTAAAGCTATGTGCTCCAGTGGGTCGTGGCCCCTTACATTCCTCGTGGCGCCTTAGATTCTTAGCACTCGAAACCCTCACTCCAAGACCCTAAACTCCGAAACACGAAACCCTAAACCTTGTAAAACCCCAAACCCTAAAACCCTAAACCCGATAGGCCCTAAGCCCTGAACCCTAAACCCCAAAACCCTGAACCCTATAGGCCCTAAACCTTAAACCCTAAACCCTCACTCCAAGCGCCTCAGTGTTAACACCCCAAGCACCAGACAGCACACAATAACCCCCTACATAGGTAATTACCCTATTAAGGGTCCAAAGGACCTAATAATCATGTACTTGGGTAACGGATTTTAGCTCCGTAGATTAGTATTCAGAAGAGTATATGATTGTTAGGTACTTGGACCCTTAAGGGTTATAGGGGAGCTATAAGGGTAGTTCTCTAAATTAGGGATCCTTTTGATTTGAGCTCCCTCTTGTCACCAAAACAACTTGCGAAATAGACCCGTTGAACAAACTCCTGAAAAAAAAAACGTGCTGAAACATGCTCCAACTCGCAATGCTCCATCACGGGACCGGACCGGACAGGAGATGTCTTTTGTATGTGGCAGGCAACTCCGCGGCCGTGCTTGGGAAGATATCCCAAGCTGGAGGAAATGCCAAGGAATCCGCATCCTCCGCATAAACCATCCCCTTTACGGATGAGCTCCTGTGTGGCATCGGGCAACCAATCAAACTGTCCCTCCAAACTTCTCAGAGCGAAACAGGTCACAGAAGTCCTAGATTGGCCAGTAAAACCGGTCCCGACTGCTCCTGCAGGCGATAACCGATAGGTCCGGCTCTGACTTCACTTTCTTGTGAAAGCGCTGCGGGTTCTTGGGCCTTGGCAGGGTCAACCGTCTGGTTCGGTCGAGGCTGTCGATCATGACCCGCTGCAGGATCGTCCCTTCGATGGGCATTGTCCTGGAGCCACTGTCTCTGCACCCAGTGTACCGCGCAGAAATCTGTGCGGCCACGTAGGATTCATGGCATGCTTACGAGGATCTCATTGAGGGCCTTCCCTTGAACCCTTGAAGGGTCCCTATAGGAACAGCCCTACAAGCCCAATCTTAAAAATCTGAAAACCTACACCCTAAACCCTCAACCCTAAACCCTAAACCCCTAAAGCCCTAAATCCTGACCCTCCGAAATCCACCCACTTGGCCGCCGCACGCGCCGGGACCGGTGAAGCTCATGGTTCCCTCGGGATTTCGCTGTTGGTCTGGGGTTCCTTCGTTTTTAGGGTTTAGGGCTTAGGGTTTAGGGTTTAGGGTTTAGGGTTTAGGGCTTACTTGAAGGATCATGGGACTTAGTAACTAGGGTTATAATTAAGGTAACTATACCTAGAGTTACTTATAACCCCAAATAAGGTACTTATAACCTCACTGACTAAGTCCCATGATCCTTCAAGTAGGGGAGGTTTCGTAAGCAGGTGGCATAGCTTGTTGGTATCAGTTTGCATGGTTTTGTCTCACAGAGGTCCGAAGATACTACCATCATAGAGATTACGCCTCGGACGACCATCCTAATAATGGACTTGGGGACCTAATTCCATGATGGTAGTATAAATATAAATATAGATATAAATATAATATATGCATATATATGTGTGTATATATATATATATGTATGAGTGTATATATATGTTTGCGTATATGTGTGTATTGTGTGTGTATTGTGTATATATATATATATGTATTATGTATATATATATATATAGAGAGAGAGAGAGACGGAGCGAGCGAGAGCGAGAGAGAGAGAGAGAGAGAGCTAGAGAGAGAGACACTGCCTTGGTTCCTTCAAGCTTGGGGTGCTAGGTGTTGGGAATTCGGGTCTCAAGGTTGGGCCTTTGAGATGTAGGGTGTTGAGCTCTGGGTCTTTGAAACCCTAAACCCTGAACCCTAAACCCCAAACCCCAAACCCTAAACCCTTATAAACCCTAAACCCTGAACCGAGAACCCTGAACTCTGAACCCTAAACCCTGAACCCTTTGGGTTTGGGGCATGGCTCTGTTTCCCCAGGGCCAGGGTGAAGTTGCCTAGTGCTTTTTGCTGTGCCTTTCTGGTGCTCCTCAGCATGTCTTGGAGTTTCGGGTTTACGGTTTAGGGTTCAGAGTTCAGAGTTTAGGGTTTAGGGTTCAGAGTTTAGGGTTTCGGGTTTAGGGTTCAGGGCTCAGGGTTTGGGTTCGGGGTTCAGAGTTTAGGGCTTAAGGTTTAGGGTTCAGGGCTCAGGGTTTGGGTTCAGGGTTTAGAGTTTAGGGTTGAGGGTTTAGGGCTCAGGGTTTGGGTTTAGGGTTTATAGAGTTTAGGGTTGAGGGTTTAGGGCTCAGGGTTTGGGTTTAGGGTTTAGAGAGTTTAGGGTTTAGGGCTCAGGGTTTAGAGTTTAGGGCTCAGGGTTTAGGGTAAGGTTGCTGAAGCATTGGGAGTCACGGATATCTTCCTTTCCGGGATCAAGGTTCAGGCTTAGGGAAGGGCATTTCAGCGCCGTAATCAGAGTAGCTAAAACATCAAGGCACGCAACGCAACGTCGTAAGCCCTAGCAGCAAAGTACGCGTCCTGTCAAAACCTCAAACCTCGTCTCCAACACTGAACCCACAAATTCCCGTTCAACCCTACACATCCCTGAAGGCCTATACATCCATAAGCGCCTCGATCATAAGTAGGGGCTTTCAGTACATGCAACGAGGAAAGTCTGAGGAATAGTAGTTGTAATTGGCTCGGATCCTAGATCCCTAGATTACTAAACCCTAAACCCTATATCCCTAAACTACTAAACCCTAAACCCTAAACCCTGACCCAAAAACCCTAAATCCCTACACTACTAATCCCTAAACCGTGCATTGCAATCACAAGCCAATCGGTGACTCTGAGTCCCGCTGCCGGCGGGGCATCCAAGGGTGCGCCATCGATCCAGACCATCTGGTCGGACCTAGGAATTGAACGGGGTTTAGGGTTCAGGGTTTTTAGGGTTTTAGGGTTTAGGGTTTATAAGGGATAGGGTTTAGGGTTTAGGGTTTAGGGGTGTAGGGTTCAGGGTTTAGGCTTTATGAGGGCTTAGGGTTCGGGAGTTTCGAAAGTTTACCCTGAACCCTAACCTGTAGCTCTTGTTTAAGGTTTCGACACGCAAACCTGCGCATCTTGCGCCATGTGAGATCATGCAAAGCGCTTTAGGGCCTATAGTGCAAGGTCTAGGTTGTATGGTTTGTGGTAGATATATGATTGTTGGGTCTGCGCTGAAGTACAACCGTGCTCAGAGCAACCCCGAGCATGGAAGGTACTCAAAGCTCCGAAACCCTAAACAGACCCGAACCCTAAACACGGTAATCCCTCCGGACCCTGAACCTGCAAGCAAATCCGTAACATCGCGAATGACCCCAGAGGATTTTGAGCAACAAAAGCTGCTTATTTAGGAGCCCTAAACCCTAAATCATAAACCCTAAACCCCAAACCGTCCCATTCTGAAAGCCCGGAAGCGCCAGATTCCCCGATCCTAGACCCCGAGATCCTGAACCCAATAGACCCCCAAGCCTTAAACCATAAGCCCGAAATCCGAAACCCCTAGGTTTAGGGTTTAAGGATCGAAACACCTAGATCTTAAACCCGAAACTCCCAGCCTAGACCCTAAACCCTAAACCCCAACATCTTATAGATCCCTTATGGAACCCTTGTAGATCCCTTCAAAGCACTATAAAGGTCCAAGTACCTAATAATCAGATACTCTCCCAAATGTTAAACCTATGTAAATTGCTATCCGCAAAACAACCCTGAGGCTCCATATAGACAGGTATACCACTATGGAATTGGGCCCCAAATTTCAAAAGGCCATCCGTATTATGGTTTGGGGAAGCCTCGTTCCACAACAGTAGTGTACATGGAGCCTCTAAGAACGTGCCTTATTATTGGGTCCCTTGGGCCGTTAGGGAAGGAACCTCTTGAACCGCTGGGTCTCAGCAAGGTGGTTTCTGAGATCATCGCTGGCCGATCTGGGTTACACGTACCTCTTTGGGTTGAGGTGGTGGAGTTTGAGGTTTCGGGCTTAGGGTTTTGGGTGTATGGTTTAGGGTTGTGGGCGTAGGTTTTAGACTTGAAGTTGTGGGGTGTAGGGCTGTGGGTCTGGGGCTTAGGGTTGTGGGGTTTGAGGCCCAGGCCT